GTTGACCTATCTCAGAAATAAAATAATACGATCTATAGCACATCCCATTAAGAAAAATAAAAACATGAATGACTCATTGCTTTTAAGTCAATCCTGACCCTTGGCCACACCAGGAGGGGCAGAGCAGAGCTGATGCCGAGGGTCTGGCTGGCTGTCTTCTCTACAGCAGTGACTGCCAGGCCCTCTGGGGTTCTGCTGATGTGTTGGTAGTGCTTTAGGTAGTGCTCGCGCGCACACCACCTGTGTGTGCACCAGACACCCAAACACAAAACCAGACACCCAAACACAATCCCATCAAGCTTGTAGTCCGCAGAAAGTCATACAATTCAGAAATCTCTATCAAGCACACGAGGGTCATTTTATATTTGGCAGAAGGAATGTGGGGTGGGAAGTCCCATAGGATATCTTACACAGGGTTATGAAATAGAGTGCTGTCCCGGTGGGAGTGGGAGTAACTTTGCACGTGAACTAAAGAAGGAAACGGGAAACAAACAAAGGACGGGAAGGAGCCGAAGGCATGGCGGTAAAGGAGGAGGAGAGTGGGCTGAGCATCCTGCAGAAGGGGTCTTAGGAACCCACAGGAGGACAGACACCACGGAGTCAGAGCAGCATTGGCATGGAGGGCTCATGCGGGGCTCCCTGGAACTTTGTCATCAGCTTTCACGCACCCCAATCCCACTGGCCAGGTACTCCGAACCAGGGGTTCCCAAAGATGTGCTGTTCATACCTGACTGCTCCTCGTTCTGAGAGGACCATTTAGAAATTGTAGGGCTCGTGTCAAAATGTTGGCTCCCTGTCCTTGTTCCTTGTGCTACATGTTATGTGATGGTGTGCGTGGTGTCTGGCCCTATTGTCCTATCTCCTAAGCCTTGGTTTCTGTACTCTTGAATATTTCCCAGAATCCTGGGGCTGTTCCTGCCTTGAAACCCCTCATGTTGCCTAACTGCCAGCCGCTGACAAATCGCCCAGCTCTGCCTTTCTCCACACCGCACTCCCAGCTCTCTGTCCTACTGCAGCTTCCCAGGCCCTCCTAGATAATCAGATCCCAGAGTGCAAGCCCTTTTGCCTTGGCTTTGCCCTCATAGATCCTGTCCTGGAATCTTCTCTACAGCCCTGTTCATAGCCCCAGTGCATGAAACCCAAAATGATGGCGTTTTTTATAACCACTAGAATGTATAAACAGTGGTCGGTTGCATCTATTTTCATGAGTGGATAGTTTGCTTTTTATGGAGTTTTAGTAAAATGGTTATCACTCTTCGCCTTTCC